GGCTTTTTTGTTTGTTTGTTTATGTGGTGCTGAGGAATTGAACCCAGGGCCTTAGGCATGCAAGGCAAGCGCTCTACCACTGAGCCACCTTCCCAGCCCCCTCTGGTAGAAATTCTATTCTACCTAGTACAAATAACTGTAAGTAAAAATAACTAATGCTTACTAAAAATTCTCTTTTTTAAACTGGAAACTGTTCAAAAAAGAACAATTTAGATGGGCTAATATTTCCTTTTCTTCAAGACAAAAGTGTTCTTTTTTTATCTAACTCTGATAAGCAAGTTTATTCTCACTTTGGCTTTACTTGCATATATATGACTGCTATAAACTGGAGACCTTGTCTGGAGTATTGCATTCAACTGCTCCAAACACAGGAGCTCTTTATATATAGTAAGGAGGAAATAGGAGGCTTCCTAGAGTCTTCTAAACCATATGTTATATGTGCTTTCATTGCTGATCTCAAACCACACTCCCACATGGTTTCCATGGAGACACTGGGGGGGATTTGAATGGTGCACTTAAGACAGTGACTTATTTCATACATATCTTGCCAAAAGTATTTACCTATGAAAAGAAGTAACTACCTTGAGATTTCATAAATATGGTAATATGCCCTAAGGAGTTTAGAAACATCGTAGCACATAATGAACAATAAATGTTTATTATTATGTTCTACTATTTTAGCCACTAATTAAAATTAGAAGGCATAGCCCACTATCAATAATCAATCATCTCAGTGGTCTTTTTCAGAGTATTAAAACTAAAGATAGGTCAAACTGGAAATGACCCATACACAAAAGAAACATTAACTAGGTTTATCTAAATGCCAGAATTTTCTTTCAAAATTTAACCTAAAATTGACTAGCAGTTCTCAACAAAAAAAAAAAAGTGCAAGTATCAGAGCTTATAGGAAACTAGGATATTAAAACTTACCTAAATAAAAACTGTCTATTTAAATTGGAAACATCTATAGTGTCCATGTCTATAACATGAATCTGTCTAAAACCAGACAATGCCTGTGGAAATAAAAATAATATAGGTGAGCAAAAGCTTCCTTATGCAATTTTTTTTAAGATTTGTTTTCAATGTAGTCCTAAGTCTACAAATTCTCAGTAATAAATATCATACAACTGTAATTCATAAGTAAAAAAAAAAGTCTTGCAAGATACAGAAAATTCAGAATTCTTGTAGAAGTCAAAAATGTGTAAGTTGGTTTTAAATAGTCTATAACCAACAGAGAATAACTCTGTTTGTGCACATTACTACATGCTGTTCCCTTGGACCAGAATGTTTTTCCTCAGACAGGCACACTGCTTACCCTCTTACTCAAATAGCTCCTTCTCCCTTCCTACCAGGCCACTGGTCCATACCCTCCTTTTTTATACCATACACAACCATCTCGCAGACTGTATTGTTTTTTATCTTCACCTAAAATGTAAGCCCCACAAACATAAATATCTGTCTATCCTGTTCCTGAATCTTTACCATCTAATGGTATTTGGCTTATTTGAGAACACAATAAATGTTTTGTTTTGTTTTTTAATCAGTGATACTAATATCATGTTGTTTTAGAATAAACCTTTAGAGGGCTTACAGGTACTAAAAATGAAAAAAAAAATCTCTGCATCTCTTATGTGCCTATATTTAATAGGCAAAGGTTACTATAATTCAGTAAATAACAATAGAACCACTCCTCAAAGATTTCTGATGACTAATCCCCAGATCTAATCTTTAATTACTTCACGTTTAAAATTAGGATTGCCTGACGTGGTGGTTTACACCTGTAATTCCAGCTCGTAGAAGGATGAGGGAGGATTACAAGTTTAAAGCCTGCCTTGGCTATATAGCAATACCCTATCACAAAAGAACAAATAAAACGAAATTAGTATACATCACATTAGCAAATAATATGCCTTTCAAAATGGACCTTAACCTTTAGGGGATTTGTATGTATGTCTTTAAAAACAACAACAACAAAAACAATAAACACTGCCTAAGCTCTATATACTCCTTCCTTATACTCTTATATACTCTTTGCTTAGCATAAGGAAAGAGCATATATTATATACTCCTTATATATACTATAGTATATTGTATATATGCTATATACTCTTTCCCTCTATATCGAGTGATACAATGCCCCACCTATCAGCTGGATTAACTAGAAAAACAAAATAGTAAGTTATTAGCCATTACACATTAAAATATAAACCACTTTTTATTTACTCTAGTGAAATAACGTTAGCACTGTGCAAGAAATACAAAAATTAAAGAGCAGTAAAGAAGGCTAAGAATTTACTCAGCAGCAGATTGCACAAGGCCTGGGTTTGATCCCTATTACATCCCCCTTTCTCTCCCCTCTCCCAAAGAAGAGTAGAAAAGAAAACAGAAGAAATTTACCAATGATATCATGATTAAGAACATTAGAGTTTAAAATGTTCAAACGTTGTAACATTATTTTAATCAACATCTAGAATTTGACTTGATAAGCCTACAAAAGCACAAGAGAGAAAGCTAATAATCATAATAGGGATGTTTCCTAGTATGACAGAAAAGTAAAATTATTTACTTATCATAGAGAATATTATATATACATATATATATTTATTACCAGGTTTTTCAGGAGCTCACATCCTAAGCCGCCAGCTCCAATGACTAGAACTTTACATGTATCTAACAAAAACTGGAGAGACTGTAAAGAATGGAAAGGAATATTAAAAATCTAAATAATCACTATAAATATTACTAATAAAGCAACAAACTATAAAACAGTTTCTAATGTACTCGTGAAAAATACACTAGGATAAAGAATGCACTTTGCATGTGATCAATTACATCAAATTTACAAAGAAGAAGCAGAATTTCTAAAGTCCTACTGATATCAGTTACAATTTTAGTGTTTGTAAACTGACTTTTGTGAGAAATTAAAGCTATTTCTCAGAAAAAAGAGCTAGTCCTAGTTTCTTTTCTTTCTTTCAAGTGTTATTTTATCATTTAACTTGTAATTTGACAATCTTAAAATAGTATCTTCTATTTTACTTCTCCCATTCTTTGATTGTTTTTCTTTGATGTTTGAGAAGATAGGAAAAGCATCTAATTCAGTCAACCTACAAGTTTCCTAAAAGAGAAAAGTTTAAAAATCTTATAAACAGAGAACCATGCAGTAAAGTGTTTAAAGGTCTAAAATAATAACAGTAACAGATGCTTTTGAGTAGAGTTAAGTGGAGCCTGTAAAACATGAGATGAGAGGAAAATAAAATAGAAGAAACTCTTTAAAAAAACTATCCACAGATACAATTTAGAATAATCATTTAACAATCTTAAATTATCATACGAAAAAACAGAATATTCAAAGAGAGAATATGATCAATTCTAACATTTATGGAAGAAGGTTATTCTAGGAGATATTGGGGCAAGTTTAGGAATAGCACAATATTTCTGTTTCAGTACAGTATTTCTTAGCCAGGCACTGGTGTTTCACACCCAGAAGCCTATTACTCAGGAGGCCTGAGTATCATAGTTCTAAGCCAATCCATGCAGAAAAACCCATGACTTTTATCTCCATTTAACCAGCAAAAAGCCAGAAGTGAAGGTGTGGCTCAAGTGTTAAGAGGCTGGGGAGAAAAAAAAAAAAAGAAGCGAAAGCATGATGCCCTAAATTAAAGCTATAGTACCAGTGCGCACGCACACACGCACACACACACACACACACAAAGCAATAAAGCTAATAATACCTCTTCGTAAACACAAAAGAAGAAAAAAGTTATACTTTTTCCTAACTGGCAATAAAAACCAGGTTGTACCCAATAGAGCATTTTTCTTCAGACAGTCCAAAATTCTATTATATATCATGCATATTTTTGACATGCTATTAGTTAATAATCAATGCTAAGATGCTCATTCCAATTGAATATCAAAATTTAAGCAAGCACATCTATATTCCTATCGAAGTAATTTTCTCATAAGAAAGATGCAAAGGGGGATGTTTAGGAAATGACTTTCAACTTGAATTTTAAGTGTAATAGAATTTAAAGTTATAAAGTTATTTCCCTTGTGAAACATATCAAATATATTACACAAAAATGTCAAAATAACTAATATTAGTCATTCAAATAGTCAAATTGTAAATACTCAATAATTCACAATAACAATTTCACAATGCAATCTTATTAGTATTTGCATTATAAGAGCAAATTAAAAAGAAAGCATCTTATTCTTTTTGAGATAAGAACTATTAGAGCAGGTATTTAAAAATAAATGTTGCTCACTTCAGTGCTCGGTTCGAAATCAGGGTGTGTGAAGGGTCCAGATCGCTCGAGGAACTTCTTTACATGGTTCCAGCGACCTTCCCAGTCTCCAGTGTCCCCACACCCACCATCAACAGCCATTCTGCACAGAACACAGTAAATCCAGCTGCAAAGATCAGTATGAAAAAGCCACAGCTAAAACCATTAGGTCTCCCCACAAGAAAAGGTGACCACGCCAGAGGCGATCAGATACAAAGGGAAAATGACTACGGTCTGTTTCATGCTTTCTAATTGTTTGTCTATTAAAGGGCTCTTTAAAATTATATTTGTTTCTATTGGTATTTCATCCATTTGAAGCAATAAATCAGTATGCTAAAGATCAAATTGTACTATTGATTTATCCGTGAGAAATACTTTTGATATTCAAAAAAAGACTGCTAACTTCCAGTTTCTTTCAGTGTATTTGGGAAAGGAAATATAACAGATTACATGGAAAGTGAAAAAGCCACACATTCAGAATTGTGATGCTTCAAATCTAATACTGTTTATGTTTTGAAAAGGTGATGTCAAGACCATCTTTAAAGAGTAACTTTCATACATGTTTCTCCCAATTTCCAAAAAATGAATCTTGGCATTGTGAGGTGGGTTTTGCTGTCACTAAACACTCACACAAAATGTTAAGGCAGGATAGGGGTGGTTGATGCCTGTAATCCCAGCTCTTCAGGAGACTGAAATTCAGAGACTGTGGTTTTTGTCTTTATCACTCTTGCCTAGTGATAAAAACTAAGTTTTGGTGTCAAATTGGATTTGATTCCACAACCAAACTGGCTCAGTAGCTTGAGCAGATTAATTACTTGACTGCTATAAACCTCCTCTACGGGTTATAGTTATTTCTTAGGGGCATGAGAATAAAGAAATAATTACAGATGACTGGGAACAGTACTTAACACTTCCTAAGCATTCAAACTTGAACTGTCTTGAACTGTCACTTTATGCGAAAGTGACAGGGAGCTAAACAGTGGAAGGAATGTGAGATTAAGCTTGTCATTCCAGTCCCCCTGTAGTTGCAAGAGACCACAGCACTACTGGGGATTGATACAGAAATTAGGAACTCCACACACACACACACACACACACACACACACACACACACACACAATTTTTTCCCTGCCAGGCACACACACACACACACACACACACAATTTTTTCCCTTCCATTTAAGGAAAAGGGCACATTATGTAAGGGTTGGTCAGGTGGGAGAAGTTTTCAATCGATGGCACCACCATCAAAATATCAAACTATGCCCTTAATAAACTGCAGATTGTTTGGGCATGGGAAAGAGGGGGAGGTTAACAATTGGAGTCAACCAGTTAAAAGACCCAATTATTTTTGCAAACACGATGGAAGTGCTTAGTACGATACCTGGTGTGGACCGAGCAACACGATAAAAATGAAAGTTTGCAATCGGTCCTATCATCTCTTGTGCTTAGGAAAGGCCCCAAACAGTCTGAGGTCCGTTCCCCGGGTTTGCACTGGACTCTCGGGTCACAAGGTCACTCAGGGGATCTCACCATTGGGGATGGAGGGGCTGGGGCACAGGGTAGGCCCTGGCAGGGCCCGGGGCGGTGCACCCCAGCCCCAAAGCCCACCCGGGGCTGAGGCCGGGAGCGGCCGGCCCGCGCCGGGGCTGGGGGTCGGGGGTCGGGGTCAGGGGTCGGGGGTCGGGGTGAGGCCGCGCGGCCCGCGCTGCGGGAGCCCCCCCACTCCCAGCACCCCCCCCGGGCCCGCTGCGGCTGGTGCCCTAGGCCTGGGGTTAGGGGGAGGCGGGGGTCTCCAGAGAAGACCCCCGGCCTCCCGGCGGCACTAACTTCTCAGCCAGCAGCTCCTCTATTCTCCTTCTTTTCTTCTCCCTAAAAGAAAGAGAGAATAAAAGAAGGGTCAGCATCACGCTACACGCTAGGCGCCGCGAGGGTGTGGGGAGCGAGGGGACGGGGCGGAGGGAGGGGGGACCCCGGGTGGCGGCGGCGACCGCCCACCGCCACGCTCTCTCACAAACCAGCCCAAGCCGGCGCGCGGGCCGGGCCCCGGTACTTACGGCTCCTCGCCATCCGCCATATTGTTCTCCGCCTCTTCCCAGGTGCCTTCGCGGAGGGCGGGGAGGGGCGTAGCCTCGGGCGGGGAGGTGGGCAGTGGGCGGGCGGGGCCTTGGGAAAGGGCGGGACCTAGGAGGGGAGGGGCTCTGGCTTCGCTACGATGATAGGGCGGGGCCTTGGGACAGAGGCGGGGGCTGGGGCCAGGGGCGGGGCCTATGAGGGTGTGGCTCTTGTTTCGCCACGTGAGTGGGCGATGCCCTGGGGAGGGGCGGGACCCAGGAAGGGCGTGGCTCTGGGTTCGCCGTGGGGGGCGGGGCCTTGTACGAGGGGTGGGTTCTCGGAGGGTTCAGAGTGGGACGGGAGGCAGCCGAGGGAGAGGGGCGGAGTCCATGGCTTTTAAAACATTTCATTGTGAATACAGGGAAATGTTACGCCGCCTACAATGTTGTTATGTCTCAAGAGAATGTTAGTAAAGGTTTTATACAATTGCGTGATTAATAATCTCGTGAAATGTTGGTGTGATCTACAAAATTAAAAACATAATTTAAAAACCCTAAGAAGAACCAACACAAAAAACACCAGAGCTTTTCAATGGGACCAAACGTTGAGCAGAATTTCTGCTTTCTACTTTTTGTCAGGGTTTCAAAAGTCTGCCTTTAACTTTAAAACTTTATAACTTTAAAAGAGGTAATAGAGGAGAAATTATTTTGGCAAAGTATGCATTAGTAAGTCTGGATAACCAGATAGACAAACATTATGATGATAATCATATGTCTCACAAATAGCTTATATAGCTTGCTTTCCTTGTGTGTGTGTGGCTTCAGTCTTGAGACTTGAACTCAGGGCCTACACACTGTCCCTGAGCTTCTTTTACTCAAGGTTAACACTCTACCGTTTGAGTCAAAGATCTACTTCCAGCTTTTTTTGGTAATTTAGTTGGAGATAAGAGTCTCCTGCCCAGGCTACCTTCAAACCAGTCTCCTGAGCAGCTAGGATTACAGCATGATCCCCCCAGTCCCCAGCTAACACATAGCTTTCTTCAAGTGAAACAAGAATGAGATGTTTGGAGTTAGAAAGAACTCAGTTTAAAATTCTTATTCCTTGGGTACTTCTGTGTCCTTACTTGTAGGGTAGGGATGAGTCAGTACAGGGATCTACCTTTCTTCCTGAAGCACTGAAGCAGAGGCAGGAATTAGATAGGTATTGTTAAAGTATATTAAATCACTGTTAATATTAATTATAGGTTTGGTTTTTTTTTTGTCAGTCATAGGCTTGAACTTAGGGCCTGGGTGCTGTCCCCAAACTCTTTTGCTCAAGGCTAGTGCTTACCATTTTGAGCCACAGCTCCACTCCCAGTCTTTCTTTGAGTGGTTAATTGGAGATTAGAGTCTCACAGGGACTTTTCTGTCCAGGCTGGCTTCAAACCACAATCCTTATATCTCAGTGTCCTAAATAATAGGATTACAGGCCAGAGCCACCAGCACCTGGCTGTACATACCTCTTTTAATGTTCTTTCAAGATGCTGGAATGGGACAATTTGATTCCCTAACTAACAGCTATTAGAACTTGTGCTGCAGTTACTTGGATTGAAGAACTATCCACCAAGCAGCCCGAAGGACTACCCTAAAGACACTGCAGGCTATTAGGAACACTCTGTGGATACCCTGAGGAAGCTACGTGGTAACCATAGCTGCTTGCTCCCAAAGCACAACTGGCTCCTAAAGGAATCACCTCAACCGTGACTGTCAAACAGTTTGTACCAAACTCTAGACTCTAGATCCTGCACTCATTTCCACCCAGGCTTCAGGGGGAGCACTTCTGTTGGTGATCCAACAGAAAACTCCAATCAGTCCTTCATTTGCATAAAGGACTGGGATCATGTCACAAGTGTTTGCCAGGATGGGTGCAAACACCTATTATTTGTGTGGTAGGACTGTGATGATTGGTGAAGACACCTTTTACACACTCCAAGTCTGGCTTTATTTATAAAGCAGGCGATTTGCTCATGCTGTGAATCATCCAGAAGACACATTCATGTGCTGCCCCCTGGTGGTGAGATATTAGGCCGACTAAAAAGCTTCTCTGAATCGTTTTTTTCTTCTTATTTCTTATCTTTATCATTATTAGAATGATCAGAGCTAGCTAGTAACTGAGAGAAATAACAGCAACCACAGCCTGGGTGGCAACCAGGTGACAACGACACTAGCAAGAAAAAGGCATCCAAAGAATTCCAGAGAGCCATAAAGAGCAGATGCAATTGAGACCACAATGCTCTGAAGAGCAGATACAAGAAAACTGAGGGCCCTGGCCACTGAAAGAGTTCCAGGGAGTTACCAAAAGGCCAAGGGTTCCAGACACCTTAGGCTTGAAAGCCGTGTAACACTTGTTACTGTCAGGCTGAAGATCTCAGCACCCAAGGCCTTCATGCTGCCAGAGCCCAGGATTACAAAAGCTGCCAAGTGCCAGGGCCAAAGACAGTTAAAGACCAGAGCAGTAAGCCTCCAAGATGAGTACTTAGAGCCTCAGGTCTCTGCTTTCTAAAGCATAGTGGAATAGTCCTCTAGCTCTCAGAGCTTGGAGCTTAAAGACTCTTAAGTCTGCCAGTCCAGCCCCTAATGGTGGGTACTAAAGGGCCCAGGACTGCCAGCAATGAAAGAATTTATTACTTACCCCCAATTCTTACATAGGTAAACAGAAAGACTCCAGACAGCTGACTCATTACAAGGATTCTATTGTTTCCCTTAGGAGACAGAGAATTCAATGAAATCCATAGTGACTCTCAAATATAGTCCCTCACCACCAGCACTTGGAAATTATTTACAAATGCAAATTGTCAGGCCTCAATCCAACCCTGTGAAAAACATAGAATGACTGAAGATTTGACATTCAAGACCTATCACAATGCTATAAAAGCAACCTCCTTGTAGCTGTTCTTACTGCTGGGTGATATTTAGTCTCCTCTTTGTACTCTTCTCCATTGAACCTTAAGGAAGTCTTGGCTTTTATGATTACTCAATTAGGTTAATCAGTAGCTTTCATTGAGCTGATATTTGTTAGTACCAGGCAGTGAGTGCCATAAGAATAGAGTGTATTGTCCCTACCAGGACACATCAGCCCCTTACTGGTCAGTCACATGTCTCTCCATGAACTAAGAAACTTCTTGGCCTTGCTCAGACAACACTGAGAGAAACCACTGAGTGATACCCTTGCTGGCCAAAAAGGGCTTCTGCGGGCTGTTTCGAAGATATACCCTTTGATTAATGGTAGTGAGCATTATACACATACCTCACATGGAAACAAAACAAAGCAAAAAAAAAGAGGCATTACCTTAAGGAAATCATCTACTCTCCTTTATCTCTTGCATAGAGGAAGAAAATGAGCCCTGGGAAAAGGATGGAGCTAAGCTGATAAAGAATTTAGAAAGGTTTGGGGCCTGCAGCTGCATGCCTTGGGACTGACACGCTGACTCACAATGGTGGTATTTTGAGAGATGACACCAGGCAATCATTGGCTCAGGCTGACTGATGAGAAATAGCCACTTGCTCTTGACAGTGAGGAAAGCAGCTGTCCCACCAGGAAAATCTTAAACAGATTTGTTTCCTTAAAAAAAAAAAACATAAGCCATCCAACCACCCACTGTGGTTGACAAGCAGAAAAATATTCAAGATGGTCCTATCTAGAAACACAAGTTCTTATATAAAAGGCTCGCAGGATCTCTAGAATGATTGTATATTTTGACTTCCCCGTTCCTCGAGAATAGTGATAAACTGCTCTTACTAATAACTTCCAGCCAGTGACTGGAATAAAGAGTCTATGTATGTTCACTTGTATTTATGTTGGACTGAGGACATGATGCAAGTGGTAAAGCACCTGCCTAGCAAACATGAGGCCTTGAGTTCAAGTCTCAGTCCTGCCAAAAAACAAGTAAAAAAATAAACAACTGTATGACAAAAGTAGAAATGTATACAGAAAACAAAAACCTCCCAGAAGGCAGCCAGAGAGAGAAGAAACACGGTTAAACATTTTCAGAAAAAAGAAAGCACTACTGCAACACAGACAGCTTTAAGAATCTTTATTTATTTGCCATTGTTTTTCTTCTCTCTTGGGAGGTTTAAGCATATAAGTTAAAGTACATTCAACAAATATTTACTAGACAGTCATTGCCTGTGAAGATGAGCAAAAATGAGCAATCATATTGTTATGAATACGCACTTGACAGCTTTTGGTCATGCAGTTCTGAGCAGCTGGAGAGTGAAAAATTCTTACTCACAACTGCTCCTGCTCACAGATTAGTCCAACAGGTGTGAGGCCTTCCTGGGGCTCCTACCCTAACCTTGACCAAGATCATTTAGTCCCCTTATCCACCTATCAAGCGCCAGGAATTCCTCCACACCCTGGGACTTCCTGTAACTGAGAGCAAGGCCTGGCACATGTCACTTAACACTCCTCCCACAGACTCATGTGTAGGTAATGAAGCTAGGAATGTGGGATCTCTGAAAGGAAAATAGGGCCTCATTCACCCCACCCCAGCCCCACCCTCGCCCCAGTGCTACCATGGAGCTTTGGGAGGACTCATAATATCTGTTGTCATTGTATCATATGTGCTTGAAGTATTTCTCCTGTCCTACCTGTTCAGATACAGCCACAAGAATAAAAGGGCAACAGAAAAGTCAGTGGTTGTTTATTATGACAGTAGAGAAAGCCAGGGACTGGTGGCTCATGCCTATAATCCTAGCTACTCAGGAGGTTGAGATCAGAGGATCTAACTCCAGCTGGGGTTAGAAAGTCCATGAGACTCTTACCTCCAGTTAATCACCAAAAAACTGGAAATGGCACTGTGGCTTTAAAGTAGTAGAGTGCTAGTCTTGAACAAAAGAGTTCAGGGACAGCTGTCAGGCCCTGAGTTCAAGCCCTATGACCACCAATACCACCACCACCAAAAACAACAAACAGAGGAAACATCAGGTGAAAGTGACATAAACATCCAGATGAGTCATAGACTGGATAGGTTTTGTTTTGTTTTGTTTGCTTGGTGTTTTTGGTGGGGTA